AATCTTCTCTACTCCTTCATCTGTCCTTACACATCAAACTATGACTCGTAATGAGGGCTACGCCCCCCCCTTTTCTTTTCTTTCTCTCCGTAACCTACTGTTGTTTATGAGACTCTTTCTCATCCTCTCCTCCCTTTCTCTGTAATACTCAGATGAAAGAGAAGAAGAGTTATCATTGCATAACCACAATGCATTTGAATATAAAATCTACCTGTGTCACTACATAAACAATAATTTAAGCACACACTCCACTGCAGTGTGAAACACACTATTTGGGGTTAAACCCTCGCCTTTCACACTCTGCAGCACTGGGAGGGAATAGGACTGCCGTCGCCATGGGAATGGTGGAAATGGAAAGCGGCCATTATGTCCTGATCACAGCAGAGGCGATGAGACTGGACTGCAGAATAGGACGCAGCTAACCCATTTAACATAATACTAATTCAATCAGGAAAAACAGAAACAGGCCTCTGCAGCTAAAATAGCACAACAGTGCTCCATCCTATGGATTTTAGATGATCAGGTGCTTAAAATCACAAATATATACATGCAGGTAACAAGATAATATGGCTCATTCAAATCTTCCTTCCAAAGTGTCCTCACACAAACACGTTTGGGGCTGTAACTAACAACTTTTAAGTTTTTCTGCCTTCGCCCCAACACAACAGAGGTGAACTAATTTTCACGTGTGCTCACAGTACTGAACATTTATAGTCAACAGGATTCAACAGTAACTCGTCTTTCCAGAAACAGCGTCCCAATGAACCCAATGAAGTGTCACTGGAATTACTTTCTACCACAGAAATAGACATTATGAAAACTCATCAACAACAACAATGAAAAACATGTTTTTTGTAATTTTAAAGAGCCAAAAAAAAAAAAAAGTATATCTGGTGAGTTTTTGGGGTGCAATATTATATTGTATGTTTTTAGGATTTATAGTTTACATATTTATTTTTACTAAGTTTCAGTTTTTCTTGTTATATTTACTACTGTTATTTTGTCAGTCATACATTATCCTTCTGATCATCTCTGTTGTGTGATCCTTGATTATATATAGATTTATTTCAATTAATTAGAAGTCTTTCTTATATGTTGTATCATATAACTATGCTTCTACAGTATCATGACCAGGACACTTGTTGAGATACTGTAGATTAAGATTTTTAATCTCATTTCCTGGTTAAATAAAGGTAAATAGCCATGGCAGGCCATGGAGTTGTATACTTCTATACAGGCTCCATTCATTCACTGTGTGTTTAGAAGTGACATGGACAAACTGAACACGTTCTCAAAAATAACTGCACGACACAAGGAAGAAATGTCCCAGACAAAGCAATGTTTTCGTTTTTAGAGAAGTCATCCTCTGCTCATGTCTGGTACAATAAATCTCAGCTGAATCAGGAGTGTGTGTTGATGTGTGGCTTTATTGGTGCGATTTTCTTCTGGGCTTCCATTAAAATTCAATGAGGCACCCGGTGGGCATTTTCCAGTTGACAGACGACAATGAAGCTTCCCTGCTGAGAGGTTTTCAGCTCATCTCTCCTCCTGTCACATGGACTGCTAGACCGGATACAATTGTAACATGAAATTCTGTCTAAAGCTATTACTACAGAAAAAACATGGATTACTGCATCAACAGTAACTGTGGAACTTTGCTATTGCAGTATTAGTCTACAGTGTGACATCACTGTGTTAGTCAGCAGAGCCTGAACCCACAGACAGGGCTGATCTGTGACTGGACCATGTCATTTGTACCCAAAAGGTTGTGAAATAACAGAAACAGCGCTGAAACATTTAGGTGACTGACAGACAATGTATCACTTTTGATAATTAACTCTTTGTTTTTATTATTATTATTCTATAACTTGTAGATTTTATATGATTATGTCTATTGTTACACATGTCTATTGTTTAATTATATATTTTTTAAAGGTGTTATAGATGCACAAATAATCATGATAACTAGTGAAAATATAGTTACACCTCTGCAAGGAGGACCCTAAAGTATGATGTCATCCAATACAGCACCACCACATCTCTGAGACAGTGTCAACTAAACTTAAACATTACAAGCCTTATAAAGGGTGTTATTTATAGCAATTACACTTAATTATAAAAAATAATGTGCAGGTGTTTTCTGGTCTTGTGTCATTCCATACATTAATGCACTTGCTATAATATGGTCACTCAAAATATGGTTACAACACTGACAGGTATGCTTTCACATTTAAAGCATATTTCTGAAAAAATATTTAAATGAGTGGATACAGTTGCAGCAGCTGTTCCCAAAAGCACTCTATTGTCTTAGAAGAGCTGTATGTCACCTTCACTATAGCTACTGCCACGCGTTATAGCACAGCGTGGTGCGTAACACTGACACAAATATTAGGCAGTCCTGACCCATTTACAACCGGCCCACACATGTATACGTATATTTACGGTCGTTTCATGAAATTACAGGCTTTAAAGCCGTTTTTCTCTCTATGAGATATTACTGCTGATTACACAGGCCTGATACTCGGCTCCGACAAAAGGCTTTGTTGCACTGCAGCGATGACAGCCTCCAGTTCCTTCATGCATCACGCACCACTGAGGAGATTCCTTCTGACAGACCTCATATTCATGTCAATAATTGGCCTTCTCTTCACTGGTATGGTAACATGCGATGTAAAGCTGCACAGCCTCTGATGGACGAGCAGGTTAACTATAAGCATCAGTGCAGCTGCAGAGAAGGAAGGATGCCAAATGCAGAAGGAAGCTGGAGGTTCCCTTGAACGCGAAATAAAACGTCTAAGTCAGAGCTCCATTTAGGATATAGCGGGATTAATTATTAAGCGCCCCACCCAAGCAGCGCCTCAGGGATGTGGACAGCAAGACTGGACTGGACTTTACCTGCAGAGCCGTACGATTTCGACAGCAGCCACCGGACGCTGGCGCAGGTCTTGGCCCGGTTGAAGTCGTACTGGTCCAGCGGTTTGATCTCCGGCACCGAGAAGGTCTTCTTCATGGGAGAGTCCACCATGGCCGCGCTGCGCCGCACGGAGGACACGGAGGCAGCAGCACCGCACCGGGGAAATGTGAGGAGGAGGGATGGAGGAGGAGAGAGGGTAGACAGAGGAGGAGGAGAGAGGGAGGAGGACCATGTGATGCAGAATGAAACATAAGAATTATAACAAGACGATGAGAAGTTAAACAGAAAAGCTTATAACAGAAATAGTCGGTTATGTGGCATAATGTCAGCCTGTAGTTGAATCAATGTGGAGAATAAAATACCCCACGGCACAACAGATGTTTTAATCTTTCAGATTTTTGCCACACGTAAAAACAGACCTGACAAATGTTCCGGAAAAACAGCAGCCTCGCCGTTTCTGCCAGCCAGTGAGAGCCGATTTGTTTCTTTAGTGATCTGTGAGCATGAATGTCAGTAGCAGTGTCCCCTGCTTCCACATGGTGGTGCCCTTGAGCAAGGCACCGACTTCTCCCCGACTTCAACAATGGAGGGCTGTGGTGGTCCTGGGAAGTGTAAAGGTAAAAAGCCTGTCTGCAGGTGTTTCTGGCTCTGTGGCTGTGAGTCACCTGCTGCCCTCGTGTTCCTACACAACATTCGCTGCTACAAATATTACTAGCCATTAATATCACTATAATTATCAATACCATTATTCATCTTCTGTAGGACTAGGGGAGACCGGGTATGGTTGTAACACTTTTTGCTTCAGTCACTATAACTCACCGAATTTTTTAGCTAGAGTTCTCAAATTTGTATACAACATATCCACATTTGTTCACTACAAATGGCACCAATTCAATCCTCTACAAGAATGTCACAGACCATTGACCAATCGGTCTTTTTAATTTAATTTATTGCCTAAATGCAAAACACATTAACTCAGAAAGAATTCTAACCTCCTCCTCCTTTTTTGAAAGAGTTTTTTGCAACCCTAATGAAGGAACATACAAATTGTTGACCTAAAACAGACACATCATGGTTACTTCCCTTCCCAATCAGAAGATGTCCAGCAGTGCCATCAGTTCAGAACTGGCAGAAAACAGTGGGACCCTGGTACACCTATCCAAATTCTGATCAAAATCAGCCTTCATGGAAGGCTTCCAGCCAAAAAAAACCATACTTCTGACATGGAAACAAGGCCATGCAACTCAATTATGCATAGAAACACTGGAACTGGGGTGCAGAAAAATGGCAGCTTGTGTTCTGGACTGATGAGTCAAAAAAATTTTTTGTAACAGAATGCAGTTTGTTTGCTGAAGGGCTGGAGAGTGGTGCAAGAATGAGTGTCTGCAGGCAACAGTGAAGACACAATATTAGAATCATGGTGGAGGGTTCCTTGCAAATTTGGAGCTACATTTCTGCAAACGGATTTGGGGATTTGATCAGAATTAATGGTCTCCTCAATGCTGAGTTCAGGCAGATACTTGCAGTAACATCAGGGAGGCATCTGATTGGCTCCAAATCTTTTCTGCAGCATGACAACGGCCCCCAACACACAGTGAAAATCATTAAGAACTATCTTCACCATAAAGAAGAACAAGGAGTCCTGGAAGTGATGGTATGGCCCCCACAGAGTACTGATCGTAACATCATAAAGTCTGTCTGGGATTACATGAAGAGAGAGAAGCAATTGAGGCTGCCTAAATCCACAGAAGAACTGTGCGTAGTTCATCATGATGTTTGGGCCAACATACCTGCCAAGTTCCATTAAAACCTTTGCGCAAGTGTACCTAAAAAAAAAATCTTTTTTTGAAAGCATTCTTACTCAACAGGATTTTTTCTACACCTGACTAAAACTTTTGCAAAGTACTGACTGACATACTTGTCATTCTTCACATACTTAATGACATAACACATACATAACATGTGTCACGTTTTTTTGGTGTGTCTAAAACAGCAGAGAGAGAAGCAGCTTCAGGCACTAAGAATGACACAGAACCAGTTCTTCCAGTATGTTCTTTACCTGTTAGGTGGCTGCATATGAAAAAAAAACAAAATCCCAGAAACACAGCAGCTTTATCTGATGATGATGAAGGTAAAAACAGGCTGCTTATTTTTTATTTATCAGTTTAAAGCTCGGGACAGAGGACACACACGAGCAGCACCTTCTCTTCTGACTGACTGCAGACAGGACATTTGGTGTGTATGAAAAGCTTTGTGTATGTAGGTTTATGTGTGCAACTGATGTATAAATAAGAGCACATGTAGACTTTACCTTTTAACGCCGACTGCCATTTTCTGAGATTTAATACTGAATTAATAAGAACTTACACAAACCTTTCATATTTTCTGACATAATACTTTTTTCCCAGTTGTTTAATTTGTTCTTAAAGATCTGAATTGTCAAGTCTTATTTTTTCTTGTTAAGGATCTCTTGTGTAACGTGTTTCATCATGTCTATATAAATGGTGATACAATGAACAAAAGTATGTTTTATCCTAATGCTCATGTCTTATGGTGTCAAATTTTTGTTTTGTGGTAAAACATATTCAGTTCAGATTACAAAGCTTTGTGAAATAATACTTTTTTGTTTAGAATGTTTACATATTAAATTTAGAACAAAATCTAGAAATCATCATTTGTCTGGGAGCAAATGGCCAAACAAATTTAAAAATTATAAGATTATTATTACCCAGGGATGTGCAGAATTTATGTATTTCAAATACAATAGGATTTTGTCATTTGTATTTGACAGAGTTGATGAAAACAGCTTCATATTATGTATCAAAATATTTGAGTGTTTTGTATTCTGTAGTTTAAAAATACACTTTAAATACACTTTAAGAAGTCTACGTGATCATAGAAAACACTGCCTCTGAGTCTCTCTGAAATTTTAATAGCCCACAGGTTATATTTGATGCTGGATTAAAATCTGATTTTGTGAAACCTAAAAAAATACTTTAAATCAAGTTTATGCAATTACACAACTTCTAATAATCAATTACAAATGTAAAAGAAGGAAATCTAATCCCAATCATCTGGGTCTTTTTCTTGCTTCTAAACTTCCGTTGTGGAAAACATCTTTGTGTTCATGTTGATCACATTTTTCTTTTTCCTGCAGGTCAACCAGCCATGGGTGGCTCCTCTAAAAAAACCTTTATCTGGCAAAAGAAGAAGAAGGAGTCGCCTCTGGACAAAGCCTGGAGTCAGCTGAGGGGGGCACTACCCAATAAGAAACGCAAGAAGAAGAGTGTTCTGTCACTGAATAAACTGAACCTGGATAAACTGAAGAAGGAGAAGCATTCCCAGAAGAGATTCTCACTGTCAACAGACAAGAAAGAGCCGATATCGCTGAAAAGACTCTCTCTTGGTAACACAAGGAAAGAGTCAGTCCAGACTGCTTCACCGGGAAGGAAGGAGAAAGATAGAGGAGGGCTGGAAAAAGTAGGAGAGCAGATAAAGAGGAAGTTTTCTCAAGATCCTAAGAAAGAGGATGCCACTCCCTCTGTGAAACTGAAGGGCAGAAAGGAAGAAAATGAAACAAGTGGACTGAAAAATTTAGTTAAAGTGTCTAAAAAGAAAGTATAAGATTCAAATCAAATGGAAAATTTAGAGACAAAGAACCCTGAATTTGGCAGGATGTGGGTAAACAGGCCACAAGAGAGTCAGAGAGATAACATGTATTCAAAGTTTTTAATGAGATCACTATCCATTATTGAGCGCAGACTGAAACTGAAACACAGCAAACAAACCACAGTGTTACCATCACAAAGGTTATTTCCTGTTAACTTCTTGGTATCAGTTTTACTCATTAACATAAGTTACCTGCAATTTACTTATCCCTAAAGCTTCATAACCACTCATCTCACACGTGTGTTGCTCATTCAGCCCTGTTTGGCAAAAAAGTTTAATGTAGTGGAAATTATCCAAACCACAAGCTTGATTTTCCTTCATTTTTAATATTGTTTTTGGAGCTGCCTTTGATGTCAAATTAGCTTAAGCTGAATACTGTACATAATATTTACAATTATAATGTGATTATAAATAAAGTTTTACATCACAAACAATTTACAAAGGAGTATTGTGTGTCATTTCTGTACAGCGACAATGTACACGATGCATTAGCACCATAAGGAATAAAGTTATTCCTAAAAAGTTAGGAATAAAAAATAAAACCTAGAGTAAAGAACAGCTTATAGCATAATGTTATACATTTTCCATTTAAAATATTTGCGTAAAACCTATAAAAATCCTACATCTAAAACGTTGTAACAATCTAACCAGAATCATAAACCCAGAACAATGATTCTGATGAGTTAAGGTTTTTGTTAACAGTTTCTACAGGAATACTTTCAATCAAGGTTAAATTTTCTAACTAAGGCTTTATTAATGTTAATAAATAATTTATTTTACTTGTGTCTTTAGTTTGCTCTTTAATTCATCTTGTAGGTTAAGTGAGCCAATAAAAAGAAACACCAGTTTATAACTTAGAGACAGGTTAGGAGGTTGGATCATACCTTTGAGTAACAAGCAGCAATAATAAATATTAAGTTGTGAAAAGAGAAATGGAAAGAAAAGAAATAATTAGATTTTGGTCCAAAAGCCTTGTGAGTGGCCAAGCCGTCCATACAAGGGATTGCATGAATTAAAGAGCTTGTTAAAACACAGAGCAAGTTACACATTTATAACAACCTAAACAAAAACTTAACTGGCAAACTAAATGTTGTTAATAACAGGCTATGACTGATCAATAATACACTGGTAAATTGTTTATTAAGCATTAAAAAAAATCCATTAGCTACAACATATAACTATTCAATCCAGTATAGAGTGGTACTGGTTTCATCCATTAGCTTCAGTGTCCTTTGACTGCAACTCGTGTCTTAGGCATAATCGAACCCTGGTAACAGATTTCCAGTGATTCCATATACATTAAGTTTAGCATTACGTACACCTAGCTAAAAGTAATGCAGACTAAAAACAATCCCACAATAAACCCTATTTCATGAAGGTTATTTAAATTGTATGGTCCTTTTGGTGGCGCTGTTTTATTGTGTTATACTGACCAAACTGTGTCTATTATTTTTGTCCACCTCATTTATTTCAGTCAGGGTAAGCTGACAAACAGAAACCCTACTCTATAAAATGCAAAGTTACACAGCACCACAAATGTCATGAAGATCCAAAACGATCATGCAGTTGAATAAACACCTCTCTAAACCGGTTTCAACAAAAACTGAACATAAAACCTTCATGAAGGGAGGATTTATTGCAGCAGTGTTGTAGATTTCATTACGTTTAGCTAACTCACATACACCTGACTCCATCATGAGGATATTATTAAAGCCATTTGAGGCAGAACCTATTACAGAACTTGATGGCGTTCAATAGGGCACATTTCTGCTTTGTGACTGTCCACAGACTTTCAGTCTTTTCTTCCATGCATTGCCAACATGTTCCAGTTGTTCAGCCGCTGATAGTGCTGCTTCTTCAGACTGGTGGTTAATTTATGTCTCAAAGGAAATGAGCTATCCAATGTCTCCCCCCATGTTAAAATGGCCCAGTAACGGAGGGTTTGCCTCCTTATGTCTGCTGAAGTTCGATGATTGAGCGCAAATGAGCCACTTGCTTCCGTTTTGAATTGAAGACACGTCCACCATCATGTTGGTCAACCAATATTAGAAGTTAATCAATTCGTCTTTGCCCCATGACTAACTTAGCTTAAAAAGACAAACAGAATAACCAGTGTCTGCTGGCTGCAGAGGTAAAAATCCAATAAAAAAAAAAAAAAATTCCAAAAAAGTTTTTGACCCTGTCTCAACAGTCTGGTAGCTAAGGTGAAAAAAGGGCCTTAACAATTTATTATGTGAGCATACTCAGATCTGTAGATTTCAGTGTGTGTCTGCATGCCTGGAGTGTGTTCAAAGACTGTTGTTGTTTGAGTTAATTCCACTTTTCAGAAGGGACAGGCCCATCTTCTAAGCCTTTGCGGATAAGAGGGATCCTGTTGTTCCTCTCCCTCGGATCAGCAGTACGAGACTTATAGGTCTACAGACAGAGGTGGGGAGACAGATAAGAGTATGAGGTGAGAATTGAAATCAGGCAAGGAATCAGGAGATGGGGCGGGGAAATTGGAAATGGAGATTAGGTGCAGCATAAAGTAAAAGAGAAGAGAAAACAGGTTAGTAACGTAAAAACTAGCAAAAAGAGTAAAATAAGCAGAGAGAGAAGGACATGAAAAACATGTTTATCCCTGAGACAGTGTTTCCACACCATGTGACATGATTCCAAATGTAAATTGCACTGGTTATCACAAAGAAGCAATCATGGTGAAAAGCAGACAAAGCATGCAAACAGTCCAAAACAATGACCAAACAAATCCCAGATGTAAGCAGATTTATGTATTTATTCATATTAGTTGTTTGTACAAAAATAGACCCTAAATAATGGAAATGTTTCTGAACTGTCAAAACAATAACAGGTAGCCTATAATATAAAAATATCAGCAAGTTGATTTATCTGAAATCTTAAAGCAAAGAATATAGTGTGAATATACAGTTATCCCTTTAATATCTTTATGTAATTGTATTCCTTGAAGAATACTTATACTTAATGATTTGCTATTATTCATAAATGTCCAATATCCTTTTAATTGCATTAGTCACTGCGTATTTTACTATCAACACACAGAGAGGACAAATGCAAGTTTGTCCTAACAATCACGCTCCTGCCTCTCCTTCACTCAGCCCCCCCCCCACACACACACACACACACACACACACACACACACACACACCACACTCACACCACACTGCACTTCCTGCTAGCAGCAATAACAGGCTACATATGTGTGTGAGGGGGGATGACAGAGTGCATGTCTCCAACATACACACATGCCAGAGTAACAAGTCAGAGGAAATGTGGCAAGGAGCATGACCCACTCCAACCACAAGCATGCATCTGGACTGATTTAAGACTGTACAACACAACACAATCCAACACCCACACTAGCAAACAGCACAGAGAACACAGAAATGCTGTGCTCACTATAAAGTTTACAGTACGAGGCATGTGACCATTAAGGCCTCGTTTCGTGACATTTGAGGAGTTTGATCAAGGCCGCTCCTTGATGTTTTGCTAAATGTTGCCTCATGGAAAGTTTGACATCTTTCCTTGGATGAACGTACATATGTATGGAATTATGCTTGTGTCAGTTCTCAGTGCCTAATGGGACACATACTGAGCACAAAGGTTATTTGCACGCACACAAATTGTATTTTGCAGCTACATGATTATCAAACAAAGACAGACAGTGACCGATACTTATACTGGGGATCGGATTGGATACAAAACAGCCAATAGGAAATTACCTACTCCAATTCTCTGACAGTGTGACACACAAGACACTGTCAGGTTGAGCATGTATAAAGGCACACTCACCAATATGGATGACAGCAAACAAAAAAATGAATGCACATAAAAGTGATTTTAGTTGGCTCAAAACAAATGATTATTTTCATTCAGCTTCAACGTGAACAACAATTAATGAATAACAGTGAGTGGCCTAATTAGACAGATGTAGCCTATAGTGACTGACGGTGGTGTTAAAAATATGCAACCCTGGAGCTTGAGCTAAAGGCCTCAAGTGAGAGCCAAAAGGGTAACAGTTCTGAAACTGCCCTCTCCCCCAATCCCCACCCTGATCAATCAAATGGGTAATGACAAAAAGTGAAAATCGCCTACAATTGTGATAATATGCTAATCTTTACATTTACTTATTCAGTGTCAAATGAGGGTGTGCTTCTTTTCTTTATATTGTTAATTAAATATCTTTGGGAGTAACAAAACTCAACAAGGGTCTGGGAAATTATGGCAGCAATTTCTTTCCATTTTATAGACTGAACTCGTAATCAAAACATTTATGAATAAAAATCTGATATAGTTAAAGCCCCTTTCATTTCCCTGCCTTTAGCAACAAGATTTCAAGTGCTTTTTGTCGCTGCCACTTCTCTCCTCTTCTGACGCACTTGAGAACTGCTGGCAGCAAAATGCCACCAACTGCAACTAAATAAAAATAAACAAAAAACTGTTCAGCTACACATGAATCACATGCGTGTCATATTTTGTATTCAAAATGGAGAATTTTACCCAAAGGAGACACGTCTGGTGCTATGTAAGTGACTCTTTCACTTTCAATGTTCAGTTAAGAGCATTCTGGTTCATTTGAGTGTGCAGACTCTTTTTTGTTCTTGCTAGATAAAATGCACATCCAAAGTTTGCTTTTGCAATTCGAAGTGTCAAAATAGAACTGTGATACTACATAGTCTTTCCTATTTAATCCTTTTATTTAACAGTTTTTTTTTTTTGGGTCAAAGTGTGAAACAGGAACTTAAAGAAGGAAACCAATAACAGTTTCTGCTAACAGTACCAGATAATGGACGTGTTGCATGTGACACAGAGCAGCAACCTAAACATCTTCTGTCAAAGGGGCCGGTGTTAATGCACTTCAAAATTTGTTCTTCCTGTGCAAGTTAACCACAGCTACACTGTATTGGTTTTGTGGCACCAGTGTGTGAACTGTATGAAATCTTCATGTTCTCTGCTTTTGTTTGTTCACCAATGGACAGAAACCGCTTACAGAAATTCGACTGTGCACTTTTTAGGCAGCACAGAGGTCAGGCAATGTGTGTTCACAAACTGATGTCAAACAAGTCAAATAACCATCTGCCCACTGCAGTCTGCAGCACTGCAACATTATTCAACAGTTGCATATGCTCTCCTGCAAGACAGTCATGTCTCGCACATTGTCTTAGTAAGTTAGGTTATCACTATCCAAGATTTATTAATAAATAGATCTTCAACTTTGTTTCCAGTCTAATTTCTTCCAAGTTAACATTTGCAACAGGCAACATGTGAGATCCACTACCCATCAGTTCAACTGCACTACTCATGGTATAACTGCAACTTTTTTCAATATGCAAGTCTGAATTGGAAATAAATTGATATGGCACTTCTCAATGTTCGATCACCAAGCAATAAGATATTTCTTTCTATTAAAAAACACATATCTGAACTTAAACTTGACTGCACAGAAACCTGGTTAAATAGCGATGGACCTGCAGTTCTTAATGAGATTCCATGGTTTGAACATTCTACAAGCCAAGATAAAAAAAGTTGTCGGCACAGCCTCTTTATTTGCTATTGCTCTAAACTGTAGAACTATCCCTTTTGTTGAGTTCTGCTCCTTTGAACATCTTGCCATCCTGTTGAAATCTCAACCGCCTGTGCTTGCTATAACAATATACAGATCCCCCTTACTGAAAATTTCATAAATCATATTAATAACCCTAAAGTCAATGACAAGACTATCATTGATGCTATGGCAAAAGCCAAATTTGAAGATGAAATCTAAACAGAAACCACCATGAAGAACTGGGCACATTATTAATTTAAAGAAAAACTACATCTGCAAGGCCATTATGACATTTTGAACGAGCACCTCACGGTCTTCAACAAAGCAATTAAAAATGCAAGACAAGCCAATTTTTCAAAGCTGATTTTAAAAAATCATCGTTTTTTTCCCTCAACTATTGACAGCCTCATAAGTTTGCAGCATTTCTCAGTGACAAGATGCAAAAACCAGGTCAGATTTAAACCATGTTTGCTTGCTTGTTTGTTTGTTTGTTTGAAAAAGGGACAGTGCACATTAACGAACATAAGGACAATGTCCAGATGTAAATGAGCCTGATTTAGCCGTCCAGACTAATTTTCATCTGGAGTCCCTGGCAGGTTGTTGTTATAGACTTTACACATAATGTGCAAGAGCCTCTGTCTTCAGACACTTTCCTTCTGCCTAAGACTGCTATGAATGGATTTGCTGCTGTTGATAAAGTAATGCTCAGGAACTAAGTAATGCAACTAAAACCCTCCACCTGCTTGCTTGACACTATCCCCACAACCTTTTATAAGAGTGTGTTTAACTGTTGAAGGGATAGTGATTGTAAACCACTCCCTGCTAACTGGTATTTCCCCCCAGGCACTGAAAACTGTGAAACTTCTCCGAAAGAAAGGTAGGTAACATTTTATTTGGATAGTCTACAAATAGTTTATGGAGTATTTGTCTGTGGATGTTTAACAGATTATCAATGGAGCAATTGTGACAATTCATCAACATACCTTAACTAAAATGTTTGTTGTAACTTAACCTAACCAAACCTAGAAAACTGTTTTATTTGTGAAAGAGCTGAACAGATGAATCTCAGCTCTATCTGTAGACTCAGTTTTGGTTAAGGATTGATCGGACTAGCAGAGACTATTTTGTCTCCCTTGGTGACCACTCCTTGGGTAACACTAGCATTACATGTGGGGTCCCTCAAGCTCCCATTTTGAGACCTGTTGCTCAGTCTCCATATGCTGCAACTGGGAAATATCAGAGAACACATGATATATTTTCATAGCTACGCCGATGACACACATCTTTACGTCTGTTTTGGTTTTTTTAATCAAATGACTTCAGCTGATAAACTAGTTAAACGCATTGATCATATCAACTTCCGGATGTCACATCAGTTCTTGCAGTTGAAAAATGATAAGAAATCTTGCCAAATGGCAATCATTTCTCTCCCGGGCAGATACTGAGATGATTTTATCACAAGTAGGTTTGATTACTGCAATGCTCTCGTTTCTTGTCTACCTTAGAAACCTATAAATAAGATACGGATCATTCAGAATGCAGTATGTGTACTGACTAACAGAAGTAGAGTACACATGTCAACTGTCCTAAGTCCCTTCATTGGTGTCTGTCAGTTTTAGAATAGATTTTAAGATAATTTTATTGGTGTACAAATCACTAAATGGACTAGCATCTGGATACTGGTCAGACATGCTTACAATGTATAAGCCTTTTAGTTTGTCCTTGGGTGAGGACAAAGAACTAAGGGACAGCTTGCCAGAGGAGCTGAAGGCATCACAACACCTTTCAAAGAAATCTTAAGACATACCTTTGTAGCTTAGCATTCCCTTAATCCATTTTATTTTAACCTACCCTTTTCTACTGGGCTACACTCTCTGATCTACCGTGTTTCTATTTACCATATTATTTCTTGATATTAATGTTTTTTTTCACTTTATTATTGTATTTTTATTGTATTGTTAGGCACCTTATGTTGCAATTTTGCACAAACGGTACTGCAGGACAATAATTAATAGTTGGACGTTTTATATTCGACAAAGTGTTACTCTTGGCAATCATGTACACACACAGAGCACCTACAAAGCAGAAGCACATTTGTTCATATTTGATCAAAGCAGCAAATGAAAGTAGGACCGACAAATGATATAACTACAGTTTTACTGCATGACCACAGTACACAAGCTAGTCACTTTCAAACAATACATACCACATTTGCATCTAATGATCAATCTTGTTTTGTCAAGGCTGCCATAAGTAGAACTATAGTAAGAACTAAATTCTTTTTCATCTGCAAGGCTCATAAATTTTTTTTAAAACGGGTTCAATCTAAACCTATTATTTTATTTTTTTTATGTCCCTGTGTATCCAAAGTTTGTTGCGTTTCCTGCTGAAAAAAATACACTGACCACTGCAACTAAAAAAAAAAAAAAAACGTAAACAATAAATGAGGGACTCCTTTGAGCATGGAAAACTTCAGCTTAAAATCATAGACTGTATATAAAAATCTAACAAATGAAATACAGGGAAAATACGGAAATTAGCTTTTGAATAGGTACTGTCTTTAGACCTGCAACAACATATTCTAATGGCCACTTGCTGGCAGATACAAGCTGTGAACACACCACTGACATATCATCACCCTTTAAGTTGATATTGCAAAGTTGTTAGCAAACAGTTGCTTATTTACACATCCAGCAGTTGCGAAGCAACATTCTAGCTGCTTTTCCATTACCAGTACCAGCTCAACTCGCCTCTACTCGACTCGGTTTGGCCGTGCTCCAATTCCATTGCACATAGAACCCAGAGATAGTACTCCTCAATATAGGTGGTCGTCATAGCAACACCACACTCAACTGCCGCGACTAATTTTCAATGTAACACACACACCAGCGACCCACACACAGCTGTCTCTTGATTAAGTTAAAAGCGCACACAATGATGATGCAGTGAATAGTGACGATTCTCTCTGTGTGTTTTCACATCACATTTTAGTAGCTCGCTTGGAACATAGATGGAGGTGATACAATAAAAAGTACCTGGAAGCAGGTACAGCTACATCTTTTCCACAATGGAAAACCAAACAAAGGCGAGTCGAGTCAAGCCGAGTCGAGCTGGTACTGTGCAGTGGAAAAGGGGCCTATCATTCATTTCAGTCGCGTTTCTGAGCACCTGCTGAGTCCAATATTCACTCTCTTTTAGTTCTGTGTTTGGTCTCAACCAACTCCTGAGGGAAATAGCTGGTTCTTTGGCTGCTAAATCTTGTACTATGTTCACCAGATACACTGTGTCTGCTGTTGAGTGATGAGCAGATAGTGTACAGTAGATTTTTGCGCTGCCTGCAGCAGCCAAAAAAAACAATGCTATGAGAAGCAAAAGTTTAAAGTTGCAGGCCGGAAAGCTAAACAATGAGCTAAAACTTACTATAAAGCTTTGTTAAGCCGAGGGGAGCCGTTATCATCGGTAAGTTCATGACAACGGGTGATCCCTTTCATATGTCACATTGTTTTCACAATTTAATCTGATACATTGTTATTGTAAAATAAATCATCCGGATGGGGCTTTTTTCAAACTATTTTTTTTTTTCAAACTTTTGAAAATATTCAAACATAACGAGCTGCATTTAAATGTAAGCAGTCAAGTTGGCCAAGTGGTTAGTTGGTCATTGCATAGCTGTGAAACTGTTTGAATGGAGGTTGTTAGAGTCCTACTATGTGTGATAGGTCTTTTTTGGGATTTTTTTAACAGTCCTTAGTGCAAGTGGTTGTTTTGTTTGTGACTGTTGTCGTCGGCGCCGTTGCTCTCTGACAGTACCTCGTGCTCCAGGGTGTTAAACTGAGTTGTAGATTTGCCCTTGTTTTTGCTGCCCCGCCAGCACATGCAGCACAGGATCTCCTTGAAGGTCCTCCTCATGTCGTTGTCCCTGAAGGAATAGATGATGGGATTGAAGAAGGAGTTGCACTCGGCCAGCACCAGGAAGTACTTCTCGAAGATCAGCACCATACACTTTTGACAGCCCAGACCGTCGAGCAGCAGCACCACCAGGCCAGGCGTCCAGCAGATCACAAAACAGCCTGTTGGGGGACGATTGAGAGGGCAGTGGGGGGACAGAGGAGGAGATCAATGATACATAAGTCAAAAGAAAACTTAAAAAAGGAGTTACTCAGAGGAAAGAAAATGAACACAGTTGTAAAGAATGTGAAGAAGTACGGGAATAGCTAAGGGAGAAAGGGAATGTACTGTAAATTCCTTTGTAGACAACACACACACACACACACACACACACTTAACATGTCAGCATGTGGACTGGGTTTAGTCTGTATTATCAGATTTCATTATCATAATACTCGATTAGGCAGCTCAGGAATTCATTATGTGCACACATTCGCAGCACACTGAGCACTAATATTTGCATGTGTAGACCTACAAGCTGCAGACGGAAATGTGAAAACGATGTGCTAACACGCTCACAATGTGTAACATTAACCGTCATGACTACATTCTTAACTTGAAATGCAAATAAAACCAATTCTTTACCCTTAAATAGCAATTTGTAGACATGAGAAAGAGCCAAAATGTCGTCACTATCAAGGCCAAACATTCTCAGTTCTCACAAAAACTGATTAGTCCCCCCCGCACCACAACCACCAACCCACACCTTCATACCCACCCCCGCACAAAGTAGTGTCATGGGCAAAAGAGAAGTAACACAGAAACTTAACTATGCAGCTCCCTGTCAGGACATGCTCAGGGTTTTTCTTGCTCTCCTCATATCATATGCTAGAGGTGCTGAATAATGGCTGCTGAGCGATGGGAGAAAGACAAGTAACATTTTTAAAACTTCTAGGAATTTAATCGAAAGTTCAAAATGCGAGAGCAGGAGGCAGGGGAGGCTGTGAAAGTAAGCGGAGGAGCGAGAGAGTACGGACAGTTCAAGAGGAATCTGTGAGAAAAGGAGGGGAGCAGTGTATATGTCGGGGGAATAAAGTCTAGTTTAACAAGTACAGACAAGCTTAGACACAAACCTGCATGCCAACCTGCGTGTGCAGTCGTAGGTTTAACAGTCTGTCAGAGCTTTGTCATTTTACTGCCTATATCTCTTGTACAATGAGCAACTTAGTTTAGTATTAGTAGTATGTACACATGGTATTTGGTCTGTAAAATTAAAGGCCCCAAAAAAACAATTTCCAATCAGCTCCTTACTATAAGCAACGACGTCCTACATGATATCATCTGCTAATGCTGAAGTAAGAATGATACTGCGCCTTTCACATGAGAGATTTCTGTTCTTTTGAGGTTTGAAGTGGGTGAAGCTTTACTGGAAAAAGATGACAGCAGATTGATTGAGATCACTGCACGGAAATATGTGATAAAACCATATCCGCACCATCTTGAAGACGCAGATTTAGCTGACTTTTGAGTATTCTTTTTTTTTTTTTTTTATAACTTTGAGTTTGATTATTCTTTTTAAAATCACACATATTCACCATTATAGAGAACCAATTTGAATCGGATTGTTTACTGAGGAGCAGATCACTGAATAAAACGTAAACAAGGTCCTCTTGAGATGAAGTCTTGTACACCAAAACAGATTTTACCTGATGGAGATATAAGGACTAAAACATTGTAAGTAGTAGTACAAGTGATGTGGGATGCTTTGGTTTCTTCAGTAATACAAAGTAAAAAGATAAATAATGATATCTTATTAAATACACCCGTACAGAATATTCTCAATCCTAGCAGTGAGCCTTTTATTAAAGTATATGTATTGAGTAATAAGAAAATAATAATGAATTATAACTCTAAATGACATTTAACATTCAGTATTTATTTGGATTAGGTTGTGATATTAGCAAACACTTTTGAACTGCATCTGAAGCCTGTCAAGTGTGCGAACGGAATATTTTTCCTGAACCAGCCATTTCCCAGGATTTATACAACACGAATAATTTTCCCTCTCTGAGTTACGCTCGCACACACTCACGGTTAATGACATTGCTTAACATGTAAGGTGGAGCAGCGCTGACTCGATTTTCTCTGTCATGAATTAATCCACACAAAGGACACCAGCACACGTTCAGGTGTTTGTACTTGCAGAAGATTACAGGGTCAGGCTACAAATGACAGAAGAAAAGACTTTACCAAACATACAAGACATGACTTAAATGAGGTCAGTGAGAGATTTATAATGTTGGTTTCAGTAAGTCAGTAAATGTGTATAACTAGTGTGTGTGTGTGTGTGTGTGTGTGTGTGTGTGTGTGTGCTTCCTCACCCAGGATCATGGAGACAGTCTTCATCAGGTTGAACACCGTCTCTCTGTGTCTCATCTGACTGGTGTGCTGCGACATCTGCTTGCTCTTGTGCCTCACGTAGAGAAATATCCGGGTGTAAACGGCCACCATGATGGAGAAGGTCAGCAGGTTGAGAACAGCCCAGAAGACCAGGTAGCTGCGGCTGTACATCGGCGCCATGGTTGAGCAGCTAGGCAGGTTGCAGAGGCAGTGCCAGCCCATGGTGGGAACCAGGCCCATGACTACGGACACCAGCCAGATACATAATATGACGATGAAAACACGTCGGGTGCTCATCTTACTGTGCAGCTGCATGTTGAAGATGGTTTGGTGACGTTCCACGGCCACAGCCAGGAGGTTGAGAACTGAAGCCGTCAGGCTGGTGTCGATCAGCCCCTGTCGCACAAACCACTGTTGCTTGGACAGCTTAATGGTCCAGGGACCAGTATGAAACATCAAGTGGAGGTAGGCAACACCTGGGAAGAGGAAAGTGATGGTTTAATTACAGAGAAGTTTAAATAGTTTGCATTTTAGGATTGCTTTCCTACCTCCCAAGACTGTGAAAAACTCTTGAATGTTTGTTTGTTTCATGTCTTGCATGCAATATAAGGATATGATGAATAAAAAGATTTGCTTATTTTAGAACATCCATTCCATCCATCAGTCAGCTATATCATTTAGAGGGCCACAGAAGGCTGGAGTCGAATCCCAGCTGACACTGGGTGAGGCCCCATCCACACTACTCCGTTTTAGTTTACAGACAGAATTAAAACAAATACGATCTCCGTCCAAACCAGCGTTTTAGCTGCGTTTTGGTGTTGATCTCCATCTACATAGAAACGCACATCTATACACTGGACATGCGCGTGCCGGTGTAAACATGAAGCAGATGGTCTCTTCCTAGTTACAGAAGATTTGGCGAAAGAAAAAATACATACAGACGAAGAAGTTTTTTTTTTTTGTTGCATGCACCAATAAAGAGCTGGGACTGCTACTGAATGTAACATGGAAGTGAAGCGGCGGAAAATGGACTGGGAGTCGTTGCAAAGTAAATATGGCGAATTGCACAGTACAAGTGTAGGCAGATAAGAGTTATTTGCACGGGACATAATATTTTAATAAAAATAACGTCAAAAACTCTGTCAGTAGCATCGTGTTTCTGCTTTGCATGACTGAAGACCGAATCAGAGAGCCGAGCGAGCATGTGTCATTCAGCTCCCTTAACATGCACCCCAGCTGCAGAAACAGTTCCAAGTGACAATGTTGTTTTTAAGATATTATCATATATAAACATTTTTTAAAACAGGAAGGCAGAAAGGTATAGTATAACAAAATGCCTACACCCCAGCTTTAATATAATTTAAAACAACATCCTAATCTGAGCATAGTTTATATCGCAGAAGAGAGCAGCATTTGTTAATAATATAATGTGTTGCAACAAGAGAAGTGCTAAAAGTAAAACAATTGTACCTGAGAAGAGGTCTGCCAGAGCCAGGTTACCCAACAGGTAGTAGATGGGAAAGTGAAAGCGTCTGTTTTTAATAATGGCGGCCATGACCAAAACATTAGAAAAGATGACAATGAAGCAGACCGACATGCCCAGACTGACAATCACATAGTCACGTCCGCGCCAGTGGTCGCTGATGTTCTTGCCACTTTTTTCATAGAAAAAATCTACGGTACGGTTAAAGTAGCATCCCTTTACATCATCCGTATGTGTATCCATGTTGAGATATCTGGTAGATATGGGATCAGAGAAGAGTTGAAGAGGAGAGCAGAGTTGCATGCAGGAAGCAGGTGGGAAGGTCTAGGGCGCCATTCAGACTCGCCCTCTCTAGTAAGTTGGAGATCAGCATGCCATCAGCTGGACAGGTTAGGACTGGAGGGATCCAGGTTTAAGTCAGAGGTCTTCACTTTACAGGGGTTTTGGAAGGCTGAATCCACTGGTCTTCAATCTGTAGAAAAATTAAGTATTAGTTAAAAATGAACAACATAAATCATACAAGTTAATTAACCAGGACAAACATGAACAATATGGCAGAACTACATGGATTAAATAATTACCACAAAATTGTTTTTGTATTTTTAAACCTTGAGATCAAAATGACTAGTAAGTAAAAAAGAAAAGTTTTGCTGTAGATGCCACTGAAGCTGGTATTCCTTTGGGGCAATTCTCCCCGTCACAATTACGCCAAATATTATACCCATTAGTCATTTTGTCAAGTAAGTTTTATTTATGCACCCCAAAAATCACAAATTTGCCTCAAAGGGCTCTGCAGTGTGTACAGCATATGACATCTTTTCTTAAGTACTATAGATTAATCAAGAAAATAATTGGCAGAAAATGATAGTTATGCCCCAAGCAAGATTGATAACAATATTAATAAAATTATTACCCAGCATTAGTAAGCCAACACAACACAGAAAATATCAAATGCACTGATGCTTTTTCTTCTAGTGCTGAAAAATGTGTTTTGCTTATTGTTACTGTTCATGTGGTTGTTTGACCTTTACCATGCAGAATGATGTTTGTGTGGTTTGACACTCTTGACTTGTATATGCAACAATGTGGAAACATTGTAGTAAATGTGACAACATATGAAACAGATTTTAGGTTGAATCAGTGTGGCCTTCAGTGTGCTACACTGACTTGCATCTATAGAGAATGTTAAAAGAATTTATAGTGCTGAAAAAAAGTTGCATCATCTGTTCCAAGATGTGTAAACTGTGTGAACTTTGCTAATCCCACTACAGTAAATGTAGAGTGCCATAAATACCTTTTACTGTTTTTGATCATTTTGAAAAAAGTGTGTATTATAAGTATATGTTTCTATGCAAATAGCAAAAACATATTTTACTCACAAAGCTGATGTGTTAAAGAATTATGATTTCCATAAACCAGAAAATCTTGATAATCAGCAACAGCAGTTATTGGCATCATGATATTTCTACTGAGCTCAATGCAGGCTGACAAGTCACGACAGGAAGATAGGAGGCTTTATGACTGCGATACTGTAATTAAAACCAACCCCAGCTCAGGGAAGAACTCAGCCTCCACTTCAAGACCCACATTCGAAGTGTGGCCAACAACAATGTGCTTTAATCCTCTATTTACAGTAAACTTGTACGCCCCACATTGTGCGTTGTGAGTCAGCAACACTCCCTCACACATTCTCCATTTTCCTGTGAAAGCCAGCGCAGCACGACGACACACACTGTACCATCGACTCCAAGTTAAACTCTCACTCTCAACAATGGAAACAGCAGAGCAGCACCCTACAGCAGAGACACACCTCACAATTACACAATCTAGCTATGTAACTTTATCTCAATCCAAACATGCACAACACACACACACACACACACACAGACAGAGGGAGCCTCAGTGACCCACTCTCTTACCAAGGGTGTGTGGAGAGAGATGCCAAATCAAAAACAGAATAATGTGGAGAGAACTTCAGAGGCTTGAGGACTGCAAGAAAAAGGTTTGAGCGAGGAAACAATGTAGAACAGCTGAATAAAGTGAAAACAAAAGTGTAGCAACAGGATGTGAAAGGACTTTAAAAATAAAGTGTTGGTGTATTGTGTACAGACAGGAAGTACTGAACGTCCCCCCACCTGCCACACATATACATTTATCCTGCACACCTCTGTCGGAGACACAAGCTGTCAATCAGCTACTAGTACTACAGTTGATTTTTGACCCCAGGCACGTCAGAGCAAAGTAGCACAATTGTTGCACCGTTCATGCTGCAAACAAGCTCATCTCAAGGGAAACACACATCCACATGCATCCATTTTTTAAGTCTACCAGTGGCAGGTTGATTATGGATGTCTTGGGGAGTCAAACTGCATGTCAATAAAGTTGTGTAAAAGCCATTTCAGCCTACAGAAGTAGAGGCATGAAGTCTGACAAATTGACTCAAGTGATGTCCTTTGATGTCAGCTGAGCCACTGTATGTTGCACTGGCTTATAGGGTACCAACCGAAATGTGTCCATATCTTAAAGATCAATAACTGTCATGTCCCGAAAGCTAGTTTCAAATGTCTGGTCAAATTTTGTATCTTGTATCAGCGCACCATTTAACATTTGAAGGCTGAAACACAGATTTTCTGCCTTGGTGCACTGTACAGCTGCAAGGCAGTCGAGTAACTTTGAATCTGTTTAACTTTTGTAACAGGGTCACAAAAAAGGTCACAAAACAACAAAGCTTGTGCTCGTACAAGTGAAACTCACTTCTAACTGCCCCATGTTTGACTATATAATGATCCAGACAAAAGTCTGATTCTTATCAAAACATGTACAGATGCACCTTCATGTCAATGAGGCTGATTGTAGTGTAGACCTATTTCTGATATATGGTTAGGTGCAACAAGAACATGTCGTTGGCTCTCGTGGGTGTGCACCTTTAGAAATCCCAGTACTAAACAATTAATAACCATAGATGGAGACTTGAGTTTGCAACTTTAACCAAAGTTGTTCACACAGTGACTTGAGACCAGTCTTCAAAAGACTTGAGACTCGGCTTCAAGATTTATAAATAAAGGATGCTGGACCGACCACAATCTTTATCAGGCACCTGAAAATGCACTGGGACAGGGGAGTCATCTGGATGTGTTAAGCTCAGCATCAGCCATCTAACGTTAGAATTGCCACTAGATTTGTTGGTAAGGGAGGTTAACTTATTGAATATTGAATATTATTGAATATTTTGAAAACATGAGTGAGCGAGTGTTTGCTTAAAAATGGTTGGGTGACCACATTAATTATCATCCACATTCAGCTTCCACCATCAATTAAACCGAGAGAAAGACTACGTTAATTATTAACATCGGCTACAGGTTATTAGGTATCCATTACACTGGGTTTGAGACAAGGTTGTGCTCTAATTGTTTGTAAAATAGGTTACAATTGTAACGTATTTTCCTAAATACTGTTACAATGAGTTACGCTAGTCTGTATCCATTTGGTAGCAAAAACTTGGTCTATACTGTAGCTTAAAGAAAAGCTGTTTTTTTTATTGCAATGCAACACCCTGTTTAAAGTGATCATATACCAAACAACTAATCAATGCTAATACTGTATGCTAATCGACAAAGAAGTGGTGACAACACAGTACGTGCTTTGATTTCCTTAGATCAGTGTTCTCATATCAAGGACCACCATGTGATTTCATCACAAGGTTCACAATCGGACAGAAAGTGTATGAAACCCATGACCAAAATAATCATACATTCTGTCATTGTTACTTTTGAATTATAGTAAAAATAAATGATTCCCCTTTATGCTGGGGACCCCATGGAACCCCCTTAAGGACCCCTGGGAGTCCCCGGACACCACTTTGAGGACCAGTGCCTTAAATATAGCTATACAGATTTGTAAGCAGACAGGATGGTAAGCAGATGGTATAACTCTCATTACAAACGTAAGAAACTTGACACATGCCTTGGACTCTATCTCAAAAGTCTTGAGACTCAATTTAGACTTGCAAAAACAGACTTGTGAGCTTCTGTTTTAATTCTTCTTACCACACATGAAACCAAGTACAGATTGTGCAGCCCAGGTTTGTGACACATGCAGGTGCAGTGACAGGATGTTGAACCAGCACAACCAAATTAGCAGTATAGAGTCACCATAGAAACTTTTTTCTCATCAGACCAGAGAGGTAAAAGGAGAGTCATTACAGTAAATAGTAATAAGGGTTTACATAGCCCGAAAGGGGACATGTTGCTTACACCTAGTAACATGGACTACTTCAGAAGCATTTAGCATTTCTTTCTAAATATTTGTTAAACTTCTCTTTACATTCTGACAGCAATCAATGAATCAAATGCTCTTGGAAAAAAAGAAAAGAAAAAACCCGGTGTCTGTGGCTGTCACAGGCCTGTAATAACCCCAGACATTTTTTTTTTACTTTTATTTAACCAGAAAGAAAAACTATTGACATTGAGATTAAAAATCTCTTTTCCAAGAGTGTCCTGGCCAAGACAGGGAACAGCACAATTAACAAGGTTGCAGACATTAAAACATATAACATAAACTTAAAACATGTAACAATTTATGATGGGAATAAATCATTTAGCCCAAATGAAATGATAAAATCGAAATGTTTGGGAAATGCGCTTACTTGTTTTCTTGCCAAGAGTTAGATGACAAGATGGACACCACTCTCATGCGTGTATGATAAATACTGCTTCACATATAAACTGAAAACAGCTAGCCGGGCTGACTCTGCGTAACAGCACCTCTTAAGCCCACTATTTAACATGTTATATCTAAGCTGTTTAACCCGTAAAAAAACGACTTTGGCTCAGAGCCATTTATTCCATTTACCATAGAAATGTTTGCTAACATCTGACACAGCCTGGCTAGTTGTTTCCCCCGTTTCAAATCTATAGCATTTCCAGCTTAGCCCACTAAAACTTTGGGTATGTCCCTAAACATGACCTTACTGTGTTTGAACTGTGTACCCTTTCCCAAAGAATTTCACTGTTGGTGCTTTCACTCTGTGTGGCTCTAAGGGACAGCATTTGCATAACTGCATGTTTTCATGCATCACATGACTGTGTTTGTGTGTGAATGGACTGGGCTAAATCAGTAAACACCAGTTTGAGTGCAAACTGGTCATTACCAGAGCAGCCACACCCGAATCTCTTCTTCTCCTGCCTCCCCTGTCTCTCTTAAAGTAGAGCCGCAGCACATTAACTTCAGCCAGCACTTTTTTGTAACAGGAAAGATTTACACAAAGCACACACACAATTGTGACTAAAACCAATACTGCACCAGACAGTCATAGCGCACGTTTGTGACCTTAAATTCCAGGTAAAAACAGAACTTCTGCTAATCTCCTCAGGAGTACTCTCTCTGGGTGTATTTGTTTTAATTAAATGTCTCTTCTAAAGCGTGTCCATCCAGCTGTGAAGTATGGACATGCAACTGGTGGGACTGACTGGGTGCTTAATGATGACCATTAGCCATGCACTGAGACTTCCTTTCTAATCACACAAGAATACCAATAGGATTGATCTGCCGGAAAGGTCTATTTTTCTCTCTCAGTAGGAGACCTGACTGCACCAAAAACTACACATTTATCCACAACACATTTTTTGTTGCTATGCATCCAAACTACTGAATTATAGACCATTTTAAATTAATTACCTCTTATCAAATACGTTGTAGAACAGACTTTGTCTGAGCAAACAGCTAATGCCAACTTTTGTTTGTTTTTAATAAGGTGCTACAGACACATTAGTGTCTGTAGAAAAAAGTATTGGTATAGTTTTGATACTTAGCCCTGGTGGTGATGTTGTATTGGACATTATGAGAGATATAAGGGACACTGGCTGAAACTGACCAAAAAAAACCTCAACTATTGTAATAATTAGTCGTTTAACTGGTTTATTAAGCAAATGCTGATCATGTGGAGCTCTTCGGTTTTATGACAATAATCATATTTTAGACAGTTGGGCTGACAAAAAAAGCTATTAAATTAATTTAGTATCTAGGAAATAGTGTTTTTTTTTTGACATTTTATAGACTGAGCAATAAATAAATAATTAACTGCTTAATAGATAATGAAAATCATTAGTTGCAACCATGGAGCCCCCTTATTAATGTAAATGGAAAAACAAACACAGTTGAATTTACTGCACTCCAACACAACACCACCACCATTACAGGCTCAAAAACTGCCAAAATGTTGAGTCAACACTCCGTGACACAATGTCAACAAAGCCTGAACTGTACAACCTTCAAAATGATAGGATTTATTGCAGGGTTGTTGTACTGGATCAATTCGATTGTGCAGGTAACCAAACAACTGGTAACGCCTGCACTGTAAAACGTAGGTTAAACCATAAAAGTTAATAATGTTGCTCGAAACCAGGCAGCATAACTGAACCATTTTATACTTTCTGTTTGCCACCTAGGTTGCCTGCTCTGGTTAGAGCCAATTGTTATAATTGTATACTGCAAGGAAGAAACAAACAACACAGCTTTTGTAGAAGATGGGACGAACGTCGCTTGGCTGCATTATAAAATCGGATCATTTCTCAGAAAGGGCATGACGGGGGTTGGGGATGTTCTGACTGTAATGAACTCCAGACTCCTTCCACACCGCTTTGAGACAGTGCAGATGCCTCAGCATGCTGATGAGCGCCCGACACCCCGGCAGAGGAACAATGACACACATTTCAACTCTGTCTCTCCTGCAAAAGCCCACATTTTCCAACTCACAGCAGAGACAGTTTACACAAAGAGACGTTTTTTTAAATCTTCAAGGAAGAAAACCAAATCTGAACTCACCTTTTCTTGTGAACTCGTTTATCAAGTAAATCCAGATCAGTCCTCGTCGAGTTGAGAAACAATGTGCTGTCGCGGGTACCTGAGGTCACGTCCTGCGCACTTTGCACATAAGGTGAACAAATGCGACAAGAATAAAAATAAAGTATTGTTTTTTTGACTCTGTTTCTATCGATATTCCACTCCAGTTTTTTCTTTTTGTCCCACAAACTCAAACTTGGAAGACATCGTCCATCACCTGTGTTTGGACTTTTCCCTTGCTTCCGGTACTTTGGGCGGTTGTTACCTGTGCGTAGTGATCCGTGCTGCGAGTCCTAGGAGGAGCGGTAAAGGGTGCGGCACGATCCCCTGCTGCAGCGCTCTCTCACAAAGGAGCGAGTTGGAACCTCTTTCCTATGCTGCTTCTACCAACCTGAGCGCGTGGGCTGCCCCCCTTTTGGCTGACGGGGAGGCAGAACAGCCAATGATAGTGGAGCTGAAGAGTGATAGACAGCTCGAGCAGGGACGTTTTTTCAGGGTGGGAGGTGAATACTTGATGCCCAAGTTTAGCCGGAGGTTAGCACTATGTTTCCTTGTATGCTGTGGCGAGATAGTATATGAATATTAAACGGTAAAATGTAGAACTTCAAAAAACTAAAAGGACATTTTCAACAAATTACCTCAAGAGCTAAAAAGAAGGTGCATCACATCAGAGTTGGAAAGTAACTAGGAAAATTAATGTCCTTAAGTGTAAGGAGGTGCTTTATTGTTACTTTATATCTACTTCTTCTCCACTACAATTAAAATGGAAATATTCTACTTATTACTCTTCTACACCTGCGATGGACTGGAGACCTGTCCAGGGTGTACCCCGCCTTTCGCCCAATGTAACCTGGGATTGGTTCCAGCCCCCTGCGACCCTGTACGCAGGATAAGCGGTTGAGGATGGATGGATGGATTACTCTTCTACATTTATTAGATTTATTTTAGTTACTTTTCATATTCAGATTATTAATACTAAATATATTCATCAAATAAATGAGGATGGATTATTAGAAATTAAGAAAATACTTAATCAACTTAAAGTAAACCCCCCTTTAGCTGCAACATTAATGCATCAATAATTATAATCCAATAATAACATACATTAGTATGAAATGGGCCATTCTGCAGAGTGATTACTTTTACTTTTGGTACTTGAAGTATATTTTGATGCTAATACTTTGCTAAAAGTAAAATTTAATTAATCACTATTTTAAGTAAAAAAATAGAATACTACTACACTGTCAAGTAAACATTGTTAAATAACACAAAATGTTTAACTAAGTAATAAAACATAAATATAACATTAAAAATCATTGTAAAACAATCACCCAAAAACAAAAGATAAATGCAGGTGCAGTGGCTGGAGGTCGGGTTACGCAGATCTGAAGTAAATCGCGACTTTTGTACTGGTCAGGAAGGAGTGATACGTCACTTGCTGTGTTCCCTATATGGTGCTAGAGAACACGTGCCAATTATATGATGTGTGCCAGTACATGAAGTGTGGACTGTGCTGTGAAAATGTCATGTAAATCAAATTATTTTATGTCACAAAGGGCTTACATCCTGTTATGTAACCAGTGAATTGTCAAAAATGGCCGTTAAATATAAAATGGCCGACTTCCTGTCAGGTTTAGGGTATTGCTCCCAGAGGATTTTTTGTGGGTGTGGACATGATACATCTGGCGTAAAGAAATTTGTACAAATCGGCGAAACCTGCACTTTAGGAGGCGCTAGCGAGCCATTTCGCCACACCCATGCGCAAACACCATATGACACGAATATAAAACACATGTTTCACACTTGGGCCCTAATAACTAAACAAGTATGATTGTTCAGGGGACTCAGCAAACAACTCTTCATAGCCACAGACTGAAAAGACATAAACATCCTGACACATTTATCAGGATGTCACTGTGACACAATGCCATGTAATCTCTTTGTAAACAAAAGAACAGCCTGTGTCCAGCTGTGTCAAAGGCAGCTTTCTTCAAAAACTATCTTAAATTCTCTGCTAAAGTAAGATTAGCTATACCACACTAGGAAAGAACTCTACTACTGAATGTAAACAATATTTAAGTACTACAGATCTAAATAACTTTATGTTCTTTTTCACCCCATATCCAGGATTGGGCAGGGTGTGTGTGTGTGTGTGTGTGTGTGTGTGTGTGTGTGTGTGAGGGGGGGGGGGGGGGGGTGGTTAGGGAAGGAAGGAAAGAAATAAGGAAATAATTTGTGAAAAAACAAATGACACAACAGAAAAGACACATGACAAATAAAGACAACTGATTTTATGAGCTGATGAATGTAAATTCTTCATGTGAAAAGTGACTGGAGTGTCCTGTTGGCCTCATGGTTAAAATGCATAGCATGTACATGATCGTGGCATCCCTGGTTTGCCGCCAGCTGTGGACCTTTGTTACATGCTACAGCCCGTTTCTCCCCCCCCCCCATCACTTTTTAACTGCCACTGCTGAATAATAGGGAAATGCCTAAAACATTCTAATCTGCTCCTGCTACTGCTTTTAACAGCGATGGGTAAGTGAAAAGTTTCCAAAGAATTACAACAACCACGTAAATAAAGCACTTGCACCTCACAAAATGACTAAGCAGTTTTTTCCAACTGTGCCCATTATATTTCTTTAAATCTCCAGTCGAGCAGCTGCAGTTTCTGCTTTCCTTTTGTTACATAGCTTAACTAATCAGTTTCATGGTTTAAAATCCCTTCAGTTTTCCCCATTGTATAAAAGAGTTGTGTGCATGTTGATGTGCGTCATGTTTTGAAAGTAAGAAAAGTACTTAGCATATTATCCTTATGTCAACACTCTCCCTCTGTGTTATTATGCTCTTTCCTTTAGTCACATTTTGTCAAAACAACCCAGGAGAGACGCTGTAGCTATTGGGATCTCAGAAGCTATATAAATCATAACCAGATCCATCCATTGAGTCAGGAACCTTCATCCTCATCACAACCAAGTGTGGCTCTAATACAGTACAATAATGACAATGACAATGCCACAGAAACAACACCACCAACCTCCAGCAACAATGGGCTGTCAGGCTCATCTTTTATTCATAAGATGAGGGCACAAGGCCCACAGGCAGCCCAGTTCACCACCCCAGTGAAAGGGCAGAATCCAGAGAAGCTGTTTTTACATCGACAGCATCAAGGACAAAGGTCAGAAACCAAATGAAGCCACATCTGGATGAACCTGTAGCTTAGCGTGAACTATTTTCACTTGAGATTGCTGCAAAAGGATTTATGGAACTTCAAGAGGTCTGTCAGAAGTGCAAAGTGCATTCTCACGATGAAAATAAGCAGAGAAAAGAAGGAAAATAACTGGAAGATTGCGCGGCAGACAGAGATGGAGCAAGAGTGAAGAGGCAGAGCGGGGAAGAAGCGGATCCTTTTTCCTGTTTACACAAACGGCAGAGTGTGTGGAGGCTAGCATGTGTGAAATGTGGCGTGTTTGTTCAACATGTACAGTGGTCTCTCCTTATTAGGAGGGTTGCATGCCTCAGTGTGTAGCCTATTAGTGTGTTCAGCAGTCATAGTTTCCAGTTTGTTGTATCAGACCTCTCCATTCTCTTATTTCCTCTAAGCGTCACAGACATCTACGTGGAGGCTGCTATGGCGACAAGGATGCTTGTTGGCCGCCATGCCTTCCACGCCTGTTTATCACGGTACATGACCAAACAAATCTTTCATGTAAGGGCACAATACCCTCCAAGCTAGGGTTACCAGCAGGCCAGAGCAATATACTGTTAAATTTAAGGTTTGAAATTTGCTATCATTGCACCATAAATTGTATCTTATGGCAGTTTTCTTTGAATGAGTGAACATTAAACAGCGGCAACTGGCAAGAGAGGCAGGTTTTGTCTGCCTATTGATCAATAAAATCCATTCAAAGTTGATGACAACATGGAAAAAATATTGTGACAATATCTGATGATTTTCTGGTATTAATGGTCAACATTATAGCTTTGAACAGATACTATCAAGGCCTGGTCAAACCAGCATTCAAAATGGGAAAATGTTGCAGCAGCTACTTCATACATTATTTCACATTGCTTCCTTTTTGTTTGACATAAGGTACAAAGACAGTTTTGCTATCTCATTGTCCTACTAAAAACTACAAGAAAGATGTCTGAGTTGTTGTGCAGAATTCTATAGAGTTAAGAAAAATGTGGTACAGATGGATCTTTGCTGAGAGCTTTTCAAACCACAGTAAATACAATAAACAGCAGTCAAAGCAACAGGGTTTTACACTATTACAAATTCATACAACAGCATATTGAAGATATACTGACATAAATAATCATGATGTTCTTTATAAAGAACTTAAATTACATCTTCAAAAAGAACGTTAATTGTATTGTGTTATACTGACAGGTGTTACTATTATTTTGTCCACCAACTACATCCTCCAAAATGTGTTGTATAAGAGTGCATTAGTTTTAGTTAGGTGTGCCTAATAAACTAGTAACTGAGTGTGTGTGTGTGTGTGTGTGTGTGTGTGTGTGTGTGTGTGTGTGTACATACATTTCAACTCTACCTTTAGCTAACAAATTCAACTATTTATCCATTAGTAATAACTTATTTAAAAAAAACCTTTACCTAGTGCTCTAAGCCAGCTATTTCAACTATTCATCGCTTACTTTTAGCTAGATAACTTTTACTACTTCTCCTATCCTATGATCATGGATGGTAGCTACTGGTAACTCTGTCTATAACTGAAACAAATTGGGAATCAATTGGTTGGGAATCACTGGAGCTGGCATGATACGATTCGAGAGGTTAACAACAGCTTCTGTACGAACCTTACCGAGATTGTATTGTCAACTACTGTTTCCAAGTTCAAGGCTTTCAATGTCAACATGTGTTTTTATTTCTAATGCTATAATGTCAACTCACAAGCCTTTACTTTATCCACTCAATAGATGGTATACTGGTGCTATTTCTGGAACCAGGGTTTATAAAGTAGTAATAAAAAAAAAGTAAAAACAAAGCCCAAAGCTTATTTTAAAAAAGAGCTAAAAGGAAATGTGCGTCAAAAGGAAACTCTATTTTAGAAAAGGAAGCAGAAAAAGGAGGAAAAGGAAATGTGCGGATCCCAAGACAACAACGGAGGAAAAGTAGAAGTTAAAGAAGAGTGATTTATTGAGGAGGGCGTGCAACATTTTCGACCAGTGTGTGGCGAATAGGCAGAGACAGAGAGGGAAGGCCCAGTCAACAATTGAATGACAGCCAGTTCACCTCCCACAGTGACCTCCCATGTGCGCCATAAAACAGCAAAATCAAGAGCATGACAGTAGGTTGCGTGTGAGCAGCAGAATGTGTCAGCAAGTATGTG